GGGGGGGGAAACGGGGGGGAGACGCGCCGTAGTCGCACGGGTCCTTGGCGAAAAAAGCAAAACTGGAGACGCGTCGTAGCCGATGCCACCATAGGTCGAGACACCAACAAAAAACGTAGGGCCACAATGAAGAGGCACGCCGAACACGTGGCAGGGCGAAACTGGAGACGCGCCGTAGCCGATGCCACCATAGGAACCACGCCGCAAGGGGGCACAATACATGACTTACGGAGGGTCCAGCATCGTGAAAAAAAAAAAARAAAAAAAGCCTCGACACAAAAACAGAGAAAACGGACAAGCGGGGAAAATAAAAAAAAGACATCCGACAAAATATATCAGATTAAGGAAGGATATATGTTTTTTATTTTTTTTTGCCTTTTCGGGTCTCTAAACTTAAACCCCCATTTCTTTTTCTTTCGGCCTGCGCATCCGCAACATCAAGCCTTCCCGATAAACATCAACGTTGACTACTGCGGGCCAGCCCGGCACAAACGGCCGCCAGGTGCGACATCATTTCCACGCACTTGTCAACTCCCAGATCCAGTGAAGGTAAAAAAAAAAAAAAATTCCAACATGGACGTGTTGGAATCATGTTGAACATATGTTGATCAACAGTTGAAAACATATAGCCCGCATGTTGACAAACGGTTGAAAACATGCAAACGGCCCGTCAAAACGATTGGGCCAACCATTTCACCCTCTTCATATGTTGGTCCCCACTTGTGTCGAAGTTGGAACCATGATGAAAATTTGCCACAATTTTTCTGTTGTTGGTAAGTTGGCATAGCAGAGGGAAGGAGTGTGGGTGATCTACGGCGTAGTGAGGATGGAATCAGCCGAAAATGCAAATGCTCTCAGGATGGGTACTTTGATAAGCAAGTGAGATCTTGTATAATGGTGTGGAAGTGTACGAGGATAATATCTGGAGTCGTAGGTGGTGATGACAATTAGTTCTACTACCGATTACTGGAACACTAAGTGTAGGTGACACGTGGCGCTACCCATGAGCGCGACATATGTAGGCTGGGTACTGAAACTATGACTGGCCCGATGGGCACGGGATCGGATTGAATTTTTTCTGATATAAATAAATGGAACATCGAGGACCAGTGTTACTATTACTATTTCTTTATCTGTGTATAGATTTGTATATTTTTTTCCCTCGTATCCTACTTCTGCGAAAGGGACAACACGTATTTATTACATGTTGAGGCCTCAGCAAAATGTGTTCACAGACATCATCACACACTTACCCATTGGGGGCAATCCTTGATGGAGTTCCTCTCATGGCTGATACCCACGGCCGTTCATTTGTGGCTCACATAATGAGATGAAGCTCAATTGTTATATTGTGAATTTTTCCTCTGATTTTCTTGTATATCTCCCAAGTCAACAATCACGATTGTATGTCATGCTTACGATAACGTCATCTGTTTCGCTGTGTCAGGACTTTGTTGCACCACGAGTACTATGGATTCCGGATCTTGGGACTGGTGACAGAGCTTGGCTAGCCCGATTTCGTCCCCCCTCCCACCCTACCCAAGCCTTGATAGCTTACGCCCCAAAACAGGTAGCAATCGAGGTTAGGGAAAGGTCGATTAATCCCAAGTTGCATGCCTTTCCCTTGTTTGAACATATGTCGTTCAATGACTGGGCTGAATTGATATATGTCCACCGACATAAGAGGGAAAACTTTATTGATGCCCTCAATAGAATGGCGGAAGCGACGGTGGCGGTGATAAATGAAGTAGAAAAGGAGGATAGGATGATCAATGCGACCACGATTGAAGCAAAGACCAAGTTTGTGAAATTATGGTCCACTGACTCTCAATTTCATAACGAGAAGGAGGTACGTAAGGTGACGATTGAGGACGGGGAGGCTTTAGAAGACGAGGAGGATGGGTTGATGGAGTTAGAGAAGGAGTACCTGAGGAAGAAGGACGCGGAGGTGGTGAAGACAAAGGCCTCCTTAGAATCAACAAGAAAAAGAGGTTTACGGATGTAAGAAGGAATGCCTTCCTTCCTCTTGCTTCACCCAGATGGGTGGAATCTATGACGACGGCCTTCGAAGGGAAAATTTGGTCCTTGGAAACCTTCAATTTTCTTGTGCCGATTGATCAGAGGGGCTATCGCCTATTAGCATCGATTACTCAGGATGAGATCAAGAATGCGTATGATAGAGCTTTGGAGATTAATACCGCCCTCCCTGATGTCAAATTTTCCTTCAGAGGCGATAAGTTTTTTCTTCCACCGATGGACTCGATGGACACGAGTAAGTGCAGTCTCCCACAACCCAATGTGTTGATGAAGAGCAACAAACCACCACAGAATCCCTCAGCTCCTGTAGAACTGAAGAGGGTTTGGAATGTAGGTAGACCGCACTTAAAGTGCAGGTGTACTTTGGAGGGAAGAGCTGATTGCGGAACTGGACCAGCATGGTTCAACCATCTGGTCTGGTTCCTTCTCTACCATTTTGATATCCTATATCCGGATGCGCCGACCCGAGGACGAAGATTACTTCGCTTATCAAAATTTTTGTCCACCTGTTGGAAGTCGCTCATGCTTACATCGATCTCATTCGGGTGTGTGAGGGAGATCCTGATGGTCCTTGCCAGGAGGATCATTGTTGATCCTACCGTGTCAGCAGAGTCGGTCCTAGTTGGAGTCACGGAGACCGACCGGAAAGCCTTCAAGGAGTGTGCTAAGCTACTCCTCATGTCTAAATATATAAGAAAGATTACGAGAGCGATAGATGACTCCTCTTCTTCTGGTACAAAGAGGTCCAGGAGGGAAGGGCAAGGGACAGTGGATAGATTCGTATGTTCCACCCATCCATCCAATTCTACCGATTTACCCGATGGTTCTACCCCCCCTGATTCGACTGTCACCTCAATCATAGGAAGGAGGGCTAGCTTACCGGCGGTTCTCAGTGCTGGAAACGAGAAGAATCAAAGGAACGTGCAACGCTCGATCTTCACTAAATAGAGATGGTGCATCTCAAGCTCTGTGGTTCACTGTGTGCAGGTACAAAAAATTTTTTTAGAGGAAGGACCCTCCGGAAGAAGAAGGTGGAGAAGGCAACCTAAGGAAGAGAAAACAACAACCAGATTTGTCCATATTCATTATGTTGGAAGGATTTTGGAAGGAATTAGTGTCGCAAAGGTTTTTAAGTCGGTCCTCTCGAAGTTTGTGCGTGCATCCGTACTAACTGTCTTCTTGAGTATTGTGTTCGGATGGAAGTATGATGACCCTATCAAGAAATACGTGTATAAACCTGCTACTGTTTTTAAGCACTTCAACCTCAGTGAGTGGTATGGAAGATTGTCCGGCGAGGGAATCTGTCCGTGCACGAGAAACACGCATCTACACTCATTCTTAAGTGATGAAACTGTGAATATGACTCATCCATGCCCGGTTGCACCAAAACACATACTCACGATGGATCTGAAAGTTACAAGGAACCCTGATGTGGCGAGTACTTAGGAAAGGATTGAATCACATTCCCTTAAAGCAAGCAAAGAAGGGGGAAGTAATCGATGTACTCATGAAAGCTTGGAATGACACTATCGTTACCATTAGAACCGTTGAGTTTCTGCTGGAAGCTTTAATGAAGCACATGACTAATCTGGTAGAGATGTTGCTGAAAACATAACATAGCAAGAGACTTAAGAAATGTTCGACCTTACGCCCTCCCTTCCAGTATGTGAATAACATTAAAAACTTAACTGAAACTCTATACGTGGTAGGGACGGACAAGACGGGGAACACGCCATTTTTTGTGTGTAAACATCTGATTTGTGTTTTAGCCCTGGAAAGGTTGTCAAGCGTAGATTTCGACTTTTCTAACCTCTCCCCTGAGCAGGTGATTGATGAAGCAGTTGGCTCATTGAGGGAAACGTTCCCTCCGATAAGGATGGATTTCGGATACCTGTCATATCTCATGGCCATTTTTAAATAGCACAAGGGGGCATTTAGATGGTTGCCGAATGCCTCGAACTCGTTTCTAACGAGCACAGCGACATTAGTTGATACAACACTAATGGCCTTAGGGATATGGTTATGCAACACTGCAAGTGAGCTATGAGAGTAGCAGAAGCATTCCATGTTGCGGATGTTACCTATTGGTGGGTTATTGATTGCGTCCAAGACTACTGTTATAATGTGCCAGATAAGGTCTATTCAGTATTCTCAGCCGACATTTTAAAATATTTTGAGAACATTCCAATTGACGAATCAACGGATAGTTTTATCGATGCAATAAGGTTCTTCGTCAGAATTGCCTTCAGACAGATGAAAGCTGCTTGAGATGTGTCTACATGGGGAATGAGACAGTCCGCTGCTATATGACGAAAACACGGTCACCACCAACAACTAACTCGTTCTCTTTGTATGAAGGGGGTATCATTAACTTGTGTAAGCATAGTTTGATCGAAGAGGAGCCTCAGAGACTACAAGCGAAGCAACTTTTGTTTTGCCGCCTCCTAGTGCTGCACAAATGGCATGGCAAGCACCGTAGCGTAAGCTGGCAGGAAAGTTGAAGATATAGTCCATACCATGGATAAATTCATGGAGAAAGGCATCACATGTTCACTGTAGGTCTAGACGTAGATTCTTCGGAGTCGGGGGGAGCTGTAAAGTTGTCTCTTACCACTGGGCTATTTGCTGGGAACCCCTATGAATCTTGGTCCTCCGAATTCTCACACTGAGGAACAATCCAAGATTCGGGGCAATCAGAAGGAAACCAAAGTTGTAATTCAATTGTCATGACGTTGAATATTTGGAATCGTTGATTACAACGAGTAGGATCCTCAGAGGCTATATGCCCAGCAACCATTCTATCTCTCTTGACTTGATATTGCAATCAAAACAAAACCTCAGAGAATGATATAGTCCATTTTTGATTTAAATTCAAAATGACCCTGGTAGTCCATGCCGTAAACGATGAGTGTTGGTCCTTGGTCTACGCCCGGTGGTTTTTGGGGGCGATTCGATGAGGAACCTAGCTAACGCGTTAAACACTCCGCCTGGGGAGTACGGTCGCAAGGCTGAAACTCAAAGGAATTGACGGGGGCCTCGCTTGTGGTTGGGGGGAACATGTCATTGGACCGCGCCACACCCCCTACCACTGTCAGACACAAATGGGAAGTGGTTTGGGCGGAGAGTGAGAGCAGGGTCGGAGGAGTTGACTACTGCATGCCAGATTCATTTCGATGTCATTGATTCGAAGAAAAAATGGCACCCAGTAGCCAACCCTCGTATGATGTCCGTGTACTGACTGGCAGCGTCGAACGACCACATACTTCCAGCAGAGGGACACACAAACAACATTAAACAAACCCTCACGGAGCTTGAAATCATCGTTTTGCCGTTCCACTTACAGACACATAGACAAAAGCACAACCATCATGTCGATGTCAGCGGCGCAGGCGAGGGCAGCTCTTCAAGAGGTGATGCAATACGCGGAGGAGGGCATCCACTACGATGACGACGGGGAGCTTGAACTACTCACGGAGAGAGTGCCGAGTTACTTCGATGTGAGAGTGAACATTCGTGCAAGCATCGCTGCGAACGGAGAGGAGTCGCTCAGAGCACGGATGCTATTGGCACGGTTCACTGAGGCGCATGATTTGCGTGTAGACAACAGTGTTGATACTAGTGCATACAGCTTGAGAAAAGTGGTTGGTTGGATGTGCACAGAAGGGATGTCCGATGAAGGCGACGTGGATATGACAAAGCAGCAGAAGGGGGGAACATACATGCCAACCGATTTCAAGCAGACGCTGATGACACAGGCGAAGAAATGGGGAATGTTTGTTGAAAATTCTAAGGACGAGATGAAGAGCGGTGCAGCAGAAATTTTAGTTCTCTCATGTTTGAAGGACGTACCGCAAACTCCCCCGCAAGACTTCCAAGATTTTCCAGTAATTATCGCAAACGGGGTGGAGTATGTTTTACTCGACCAACTGGTGGATTTCATAAAAAAGAAACCTGACGATCGGAATGTCATACATGAGGCATTGCATAATATGACAGAGCAAGCACTGGCGGGCAAGGATCTCATTAACTACAGGGTTCGGAGTGTAGGATGGAAGTTGGTGGCCAGGGAAGCAGATGTTGCACTTCATGCAGCAGATGGATTCAGCAGGGGAAGAAATTGTGAGAACAGTCTCCATCGTGCGTTTTCCAATAAACACAATGTCCACGGAGGAGGTAGAAGAAGAAGATGTGTTCAATGAGTGGATAATGACAGAACAACAACGGGAACAAGGGTTCGAAGACTCTTTTTTACCGATCGATTTCGAATATGACATTGAAGAAACAAGAGTAAGGAACAATGAAAAAGATGCGAGGGCGCCTAACTATGAGGTGGAAGTGAGTGGCGGTGATGTGAGCAGCGACAAGGAGGGTGAGGAATATGATGCCTACTAGGATATGGAAGCAGGGGGGGGACAAGCGTCAAAAGGGTGGGCACATGCGACTCTTAGGTTGACACATGTATTCTCTACTCCCCATTTACTGTTGAGTATCGTGCTGAAGGAGGCAACACCTGAGGGCGCACTCTAGTATGCAGCACTGACGACCATTATGAGATCATGCTCGAACGGAAGAAGATGGTCACATATGGGGAAGTCATGGTTTGTCTTGGTCAACAGAGAGACTGTCCTCGCAACATCACTTACGTGGGGCATGGACCTTAGTTTCCTCCTGCACGGGGCTGTAGCCAGCGGTTCTGGTGCTACATTGCACCCGACACTATCAACAGGAGGAAATACTTCGTGCTCACATATGGCTTGATTGCGCACCAGAGACCATGGTGGACAGCGGTGATACAGACATTGGTAGTGGACAGCGTTGAATGCAATTGTTCGATGCACAGGCTATGCATATCATGATTAATTCTGCACATCCGTCATTGCACGGAGTATGTGCAATATTTTAGGTGTTCGAGTGCTCGACAACGGTGTACATGCTCTCTCTCTCTCTCTCTCTCTCTCTCTCTCTCTCTCTCTCTCTCTCGCGCGCGCGCTGTGCGAGGCTACAGCCTGCAATGAGCCCCAGCAGACTTCTAGGCATAAATGTGGGGGCCCCAAGGGGTGATTCGAGTTGTAATTCTGCTTTTGGTTGGAGGTCATGACTTTTTGGCTTTCATGTTGATGATGTGGAATGCTTGTTCAAGTTTGCTATTGCTCAAAGTATACAGTGTGTGTATGCGTGTGTTGTTAAAGATCTTTTATTACTGTTCCTTTCAATGACAGCAGAAAAATATTTTTCTTTTATAAATGTTCCAACAAATCCGCACTTATTCTTTTATAAATATATTTTTTTTATAAATGTTCCAACAAATCCGCACTTTAATAAATGTTTTTCTTTTTTAAATGCTCTCTCTCTCTCTCTCTCTCTCTCTCTCTCTCTCTCTCTCTCTCTCTCTCTCTCTCT